GCATGAATGCACATGTTAAATACTCAAATACATGTTTAATTGCCTAAGGAATTTTAATCACCACAATTAAGTGCCGCCGTAGGGTAGGTTAAATAATTGCTAATTAAAATGAGACTATCTCAATTAATAAATACTATCTAAAATATCTCATACTTCTAATATTTAATTTCCTTTTATTTAGGTCAAGAAAATAATTAACCAATTTAATTATCTCTTTATGAGTGTAACCCACCGCTTCAGATCTTTTAGACTTAACTTAGATGTTGCCGTCGTAGGGTAGGTCAATTCTAAAATACATCTTAGAGATCCTATCTCTTTGGAAGTCAACCTTGTTATTATAATCAATGAATAACCTCCGTAGGGAGGACGAAATCAAAGCGTCTCGGGACCTCATTAATTACTCACGGTGTTGTACTAACGGTGGAGACCTATGGGTTATATTGTCATATTACCCGCTCCCACTCATTATTTACAAATGGTGTATTTATTTTGTAAAATAATCTTGCTTTATACTTCTCAGTGAATTTAAACAATTTAAGTCACTAAGATCCAAATAATTTTAAACAACTTTAAAATTATATTAAGTCATTTGTGAATTTTAAAATTTAACATTTAAATTTATAAATTTCACATTTGACTTATTTAAATTTTGCAAAGAACCATTTGCTAAATAATTTATTTAAATTTAATCTCATTAAATTTAACAACTTCAAATTTAATCTTATTAAATTTGATAACTTTGAATTTAATCTCATTAAACTCAACAATTTGGCGCATTTAATTAATTCAATTTACTAAAACCATTTTAGAATTAATACATATAATTAATGCGCATGATGCATATCATACATATAAACTAGGTAGGCACTTTTTATCCTAGATGGCATGTTAGATGCGTGACAATACAATTATTATCAAACATAATAGATTAATAAATAACATGCAATCGAAATGGAAAAACTTGGCCGGGTTCCATGGACCTAAGAATTACAACCCCAAAGTAATAATAAAAATAAAATTACATCAAAAATAGGTCTTCTTGTAATTCTCCGTCTTCAAGTATTCTCCATCTTCATATCTCCTTTCCGGTGGATAAAAAAAAAATTGGGTTTGGACTTTTCTGGGCTGTCAAAAACAGCCATTTTCTACACTTGGGCCGGCTAGAAAAGCCAGCCCAATGCGTGTAATGCCTTTGCCTTATTACTGAGGCAGAGCACAACATTATGGGCCTGGGCCTTTGCACCATGAGGTGCAAAGCCCATGCACCCGTGACTGCACCTTAAGGTGCAGTCCCTTGTAGCAGCTTCAATGCTGCTGCAGATCTGCCATGGTCGACCTTTGGCTATGGCAGCCGCCCTTCGTCGGCGACTGTCGCCGGAGACTGTCACCGGAAAACCTTTTTTTTTTTTTGATAGTTTGGAACTTTTCCAAAAAACAAATAGTTGAAACTTTTCCATGATAATCCTTTTGCGTTAGGAGAATAATAAATTACATATTGATTCCTATTTTATAATTGATCTAATAAAAATAAAATAGCAAAAACTAATTCCATGGAACCGGAAAAATTTACGACCAATCCATTTGCATAAAACATAACCATCACACAATAATTATACATCATATGCAAAAGTGCCTACGCTTTAAACATCTAAGAATTATCACAAAATTTAAACGTTAAATTACAAAATTTAAACGTTAAATTAGCATGAAATAAAGACCGCTCTGATACCAATTGTTGGTTTCTCAAACTGGATTTTCAAAAAAATTGTGCGGAAGCGTGGTATCGATCGAATCACATAAATTAAAATTTAATGCGATCATTATTTCATGTTAATTTAACTACAAAGATATTAAAGAAATGAATGAGGATTTGACCGTTGTTCGATTAGGATGAAAATCTTGAACTCCTCCAACACCGTTTTAAGCTCTTAAATTCTAAGAACACCACGGTTCTTTCTCAATGTATCTCCAGATTAACGTGAACTCGAACGTGTGGGCGTTCTAATGGGTTTCTCAACACATGAGATGGATGAATAAGGAAGCCACTTATAATTATCACTCACTTTTCTCAAAAATATACGATGGCACTCAAGAAATTTTCTTTGGTTTTTCTTTTGTTCTCCCGTTCTTTCCTTTTCTTTCTTTTCTCTGGAAAAAACTTTTTTGTTCCTCTTCGAAAAACCAGAACTCATTCCCGCTTTTGAGTAAATGTGCAGCCGCACATTTACTCCATTTCCTCATGGTGGGGAAAGGTGCAACCGCACGTTTCCTCCCACTACCTTTTTTTTAAAAATGAGGAAACATGCTACACGTTTCCTCTTATATATATATAT